GCAAGGAGAGCCTGGGCCCCCCCAGCCCTGGCACACGGCCCCTGCAGGGCTCTGCCTGCTCCTAGCCGGGCCTGGCAGCGGGTCACGGCTCTGTCCATCCACGGCAATGAGTGGAGCTTCGGCATGGCGCAGCTCTTCAACGACACCTTCCCCATCGCCAGCTCCCGGAGCGGCGGGGGCTCGTGGCTTCGCCTTCCCCTTGGCCGCCTTCCCCTTGGCCACCTTCCCCTGCACCCCCCGGCCGGGGCTGCGCTGCACTGCCTTCTGCCTGGCCCAGGCTGCCCCGGCCAGGAGCTGCCCACTGGCACACGGTGGAGCCGAGCATGGGGGGTCGGGGCCCAGCGCTCCCCCTCAGCGCTCGCCCAGCTCCTCTTTCACCCACATACCGGCTATTTATAGCCCCATGGCCGGCAGGCAGCTCAGCAGGGCATGGGCTGGGGGCTCCTTCCCTGCCGGCCGCCTGGCCCCCAGCCAGGAGCGGAGCAGAGGCCTGGGGGTCTTGCCCCGGGGCCGCGCAGGGGCTGAGCCCTGGCCATGGCAGGCACTGCGCACACACCCGAGCACACATGCAGCTGCAGCAGCGTGCACGTGTGTGCGCCCCGCATGCACCCCCACCATTGCTGGGGAGGCAGCCCTTCCCCCAGGATGGGGTCTGGGGGGGCCGTGGCCAGCGGGCAGTGCTGCTGCTGCGCTGGAGTCTCCTCCAGATGCCCTTCCAGCTGCGGCCGGGCAGCACGGGCAGCTGCCTCCGGTCTGCTCCAGAGCGAGCGGGGAGGAGAAGGCCAGGGCCTCCCGAGCACGGTGGGCAGTGGCCTCTCTTCTGCCTGCCCTGCTCTGCTGCCGTGGCACGGCAGGATCCGTCCCCATGGCCCCGTATGGTCCAGGGAGCGGGACAGGCCCTGCACAGCCCTGCCCCATGCACGGACCCCCGGGACAGCCCCACGGCCCATGGCCACGCTGCCCACAGCAGAGCCGGGATGGGGGAACCGGCTTGCAGTGGCGCAGGGACCTGCCTGGGGGAGCCGGTCTCTCCTTGGGGTGCAGGGCCAGGGTGCCGGTCTGTTCCCAGGGATGCAGGTCCCTTCCCAGGGTGCGGGTCCCTTCTTGGGGAAGACGGTCCCTGCCCGGGGATGCAGGTCCCTTCCCGGGTGCGGGTCCCTGCCCGGGGTGCCGGTCCCTCCCCGGG